GAGAGAGAGAGAGAGAGAGAGAGAGAGAGAGAGAGAGATATGGATATGTTACACTCATGTGTAATTTAAATTAATAGAGGATGGAATGCAGGTTATAGAAAAATTTTGAAGCCACAAACGGGACGACTTCGGTTTGGATTCTCATATGTAGCTGAGCCTTGAACAATGCGGGGTGAGGGGCGCCAACCCCCACACAGAAAATCTATATATAACTTTGAACTCCCCAAAAACTTAACTACTAGTAGCCTACTGCTGACAAGAAGCCTTACCAATAACATAAATGGTCAGTTCACACATATTTTGTATGTTATATCATATACTAAATTCATACAAAAAACCAAGCTAGAGGAAAGAAAATGTTATTAAGAAAATCACAAGAAAGATGGGGCGCCTGGGTGGCTCAGTCGGTTGAGCGTCCGACTTTGGCTCAGGTCATGATCTCATGGTTCCTGGGTTCGGGCCCTGCGTCGGGCTGTGTGCTGACAGCTCAGAGCCTGGAGCCTGCTTCAGATTCTGTGGCTCCCTCTCTCTCTGCTCCTCCCCTGCTCGCACTCTGTCTCTCTCTCAAAAATAAATAAAGATTAAAAAAAAATTTAAAGAAAACCATAAGAAAGAGAAAACCCACTCACAGGACTATACTGCATTTATCCAAAAAAACAATCTGCACATAAGTGAACCCAGGCAACCCAAACCCAGGTTGGTCAAGGGTCATCTGTTGTCATTAACTTGTTGGTTCACTTTCCCAAAGTCGCCCCTGAACCTGTAAGTGTTGTGATAGATCTAGGATGTTATGAAGAGATGATCTCTAAGGAACTTCCAGATTAAGTAAGATCATGCACGTCTAACACTGACACAACACATGCTCAACAAAGGCCAATTCCTTTCCTTATGTGTCTTCTAAAAGTACAGACAAAAACTGCATCTTCCAAGTGTTCTGGGGACGGAGTCTAAGGCTGGAGATACCAGGTGGGGCCCTGCAGAGCAGATAGACAGGTGGGGCCCTGCAGAACAGCAGATTTAAAAGCTTCAGAGGCAACGGCAGATTCCCACACAGCAAACCTCCATCTTCCCGATGGCCTACTTCCACGGATGAACTGAAAGGACACCAGGTACAAAGGACTGCCTCTGTGACGGCTGGGAACTAGCATAAGCAAACCCTACTCTAAAGCACCTACCGTGTGCCCAGGTACTGCGTGTGGAGCTAGGGATTAAAAACTAAGTAGAATGAAGTAAAAAGAGGTGGGAAGAAGTCTAGGATCATGGTCGACAGGGACAAAAGTGTCTCCAGAAGGAGAGACTGATTAACCAGGCTGGCGGCCTGCTTTGTCCTTGGACCAGCGCTCACTCGTTTTCCTAATGCCCCTGCTACCTCTTCCAGACACACACAACCCCGGCCTTGAAGGGTCCGCTGAACTTTCATCTTTTCCATGACAGTTTTTCTGTCGAGGCCAACTCAGCCTGTTTCTCGCTTTGCTCTCAACCTAAAAGCACTTCTGCATGCCACCCACGTGGCACCAAGTCACTCACGGCCACGGCCTCTGCTTCCCTGTCGGAGAGCCGCACGGGCGGGGGCCGTGCAGCCCCCACACAGGTCTCAGCGCCACATGGGGCACGGGGCTGATCGACGAGTATCTGTGGAACGAGAGTATGTCTAAATACAAAGATAGTATTTATCACAAAGAAAACATTCAGCGTTTGTCTGGAGACAGGTCAACAGGGGATCGGTTCGGTTTCCCACAGGGTCTAGATAAATAATAAATCTGGTTCGGAAAAGGACCTTCAGGCACGTGCAGAGCAGGAATCACACTGAAAATGAAGCGTGGCCACGGCATTCGCTTCTTTGCCGGGTAACGACCCAGGGTTGAGAGTCTGTCCGCTAGCCCTGCCCTGTTAGGTATTTTCACTCACACCACCTCGTTCTCTTCCCTGCTGTCCTGCTGTGGGCACTCGCGGCACTGCTCTCCGACGGGAACCAGTGTGGCAAAGTGAACCTCACGGAAGCTAAGGGACTCACCCACCGTTACCCACTTAGCAACTCAGCCTGTTTCTCGCTTTGCTCTCAACCTTGCCAGCGCGTGGCAAGGCTTACAGTCAAACGTAGGACCACCGGAGTCCACGTCCGACCTATTTTCCTGTACAACACAGCTCCCTTCCTCACACTCTTATTCCTACTTTTTCCACCTCAGCTGCCTTACAAAATCTGCCTTTTAAGACCGTTGGGGAAAATACTCAAGAGAAGCACAAACGAAGTGTTTACTGCACCACACGTTAGGAACTGATCACGTTACCGTCCTGTTTTCAAACTCGCAACGGTTTCTGTCCCCTTGCCCAGCCACTGCCCACCAGAGGCGAGGTGAACGGCGGATGCTACAGGACATCTGGTGGTGGGGACTTCTGGATTTAAAACACGCTGCAGCCAGGGGCACCCGCGTGGCTCAGTCGGGCAGCCGGCTCTTGACTGTGGCTCAGGTCACGATCTCATGGTTCATGAGATTGAGCCCCGCGTCAGGCTCTTTGCCGACAGCTTGGAGCCTGCTTGGGATTCTCTCTCCTTGTCTCTCTCTCCCCTTCCCTCCCTCTCAAAAATAAACAAACATTTAAATACACTACAGCCAAAAGCAGCAGTTCCAAGGCTGATTTGCCAAAGGGCAGCCAACAAGTAACCTCCAGGCCTGAACAATGGAGTCAAGTCCAAACTCCCATAAAGCACTCAAGGCCCCTCACAGTCCAGCTCCACAAGTCCCGTGTGGCCTCAGTCCCTGCCACACTCCCAGTAGGCGCCAGGCTCCAAGTCCCAGAGATGCCCAGCACGCACACCCATATGGTTCTCCTTTTCCCTGCAATGCCCTGCCCACCTTCCCTCCTGCACAGGCTTCTCCTCCTTCCCTCCCTGTATCTGCTCCACACCCCCGGGCACAGTCAGACCCCACTCGCCCACAAAATGTGGCACCTTGACCTCACCCCTTCCTTCATGACCTCCCTTCATGACCACAGTGACTGATTTCAGACCAATTTCCCTTCAGTAGATGGCAAGCCCCTAGAGGGTGATGGGTACCTTTCCCTTTCCTGTGCTTATCAGGCACAGTTCCCGGAGCAACGCAGAGCCTCAAAAACTGTTACTGAATGTTGACGAAACAGTGGGTACCGGAGAAGCCCTAAAGAACTGTGTTTGCTGTTGCAGGTACAAAAATGCCACCCTCCCCCTGCAAAGGCTTCCAAGTCCCGTGAATACGTTCTGTTAGAAGGCAGAGGAGAATTAACATAGCACATGGAATTCAGGTTCTCATCAGTTGACCTTCAAATAGGGAGATTATCCCGGCTCACCCAGTAGGAAGGCCCCATATAATCACAAGGGTCCTTAGATGTCGAAGGGGAAGGGCAGGAGGGAGGGCAGAGTGAAGCAGTGGGAGGAGGACTGGTTGCTCTGGAGACAGAGGAGGGAGCTGAGGACGCAGTTGGCCTCTACAAGCTGGGGAAGGTAAGGAGACAGATTCTCCCTTAAGTCTCTCCAAGAAAGAACGCTTCCCTGCCCAACCTTGATTTCAACCTACAAAGTCCCGTCTTGGACCTCAGACGACAAAACCGTAAGATAATACGTTCTTGGTGCTTTAAGTCACCGGGTTTGTGGTAAATTGTTACAACAGCAGTAAGAAACTAATACAATGTGTCCTAATTTAAGCTGCTATAACAAAATCCCACAGGCCGCGTGGCTTAAACGACAACACGGTCTCACAGTATTGGGGGCTGGGAAGTCCTGGATCAAGGTACCAGCAGACGTGGTCTGGCGAGAGCCCTCTTCCCACGGCGCAGAGAGCTGCCTTCTTAACGCACCCTCACGTGGTGGGGAGGGGTCATTGCCAAAGACAGCTTATTATATTTCAACAATTCTATTATGGCTCTTGTATTTCCAAATTTGCAGGGGTGTGAGCACTTGTATGCTTTGAATTGTGAATGTTTCCACATCTAGTGGTAACTTTAAAAGAATCACTTCTGTGTGTGTCCAAAGAGAACGTCCCTCACTTTTAAAAGGAGAAAGGCCATTCCGGTGTCAAGTTTGACAAGGAAATCGGAGTAAAATGGAAATTTTATTGCCCCATAAAGATCTAAACTAGTGTCTTAGTCTTGGTATCACTGAACGACATGGAGGGGGTGAGGAAGAGTCTCGGGAGAAGGAACAGGTCACTGGAAAGGTCTCTGTGGGACCAGGTGAGTGACAAACGCAAGGGCTGAAAACAGGGAGTATTCCGGGGACTGAACCATGTGGTGGGGCACATCACAGCCTTGGGCAGGTGAGGGACACCCCATCTTCACAGCTCTGTGCCTTCGTGACTGCTCCTGCTCTGCCTAGAGCAGCTCTCTTCACCCCAACCCCATGCCACCAGAAGAATCCCTGCTCGTCCTTCCAGGCTCCACTTAAATGTCACCTCCTCCGTGAAGCCTTCCTGAACACCTTTCTTAGTATTTTACAGATACCTGTTAGCACTTTCCATTGAACATAACAAGTATTTATCTGTGACCCCCCACTAGACTTCAACTGAGCCCCGTGAGGTCAGGATCTATGCCCTGTTCATTTTTGTATCTCCAGTAGAGAATAAATGTTGGAAAAGGAAAAGGTGGGGGGGGGGGGAGTTTGTGGGGGGTTGGAAATCCAACAGAAAGAGCTTCAAGATCTGAGAAGTCCTGACGTACAAGTTGGGTCAAAAAGGTATCAGACCTGTCACAAGATTGTACCTACACAACCGAGTGAACCAACAAAGAAAGAGGAGCACACCGGCCGTCTGTGCGTGTTTCTCCTAGAGTCAGCACGTGCGCCCAGAGGGGGCAGCGCAAGCACTAAGGTCCGAGGATGCACACCCTAGCACGCTTCGCAGGAGCCGGTCTGCTCTCACAAAGCCCGTCACCTTCCAGCTGACTGATGGCCGGCCCACCGCGGAAGGAAGAGTTTTTATG